ATAATGTATGTGAAGGTCCCAATGCAGTACCTGGCACACACTTAATAATTGACAAAATCATTTTAATTATATTATACTTGGATGTGACTATCATAAACCATTCTTAAGTGTCTGTTCTCAATGGCCCCACCTTCATGAAGTTTTCCCTAACTTCTAAGCTGGTCTGACCTCTCCATTGTTGAATTCCTATTATTAGTACTATGGTAAGTCAAACAGAGAAGAGACAAATGACTCAGAGGAGGAAATGGATTCTGCAGGGGAGTAGATTACACAGGCAAAGAGGTGACAAGTCAATGGCAACATGGTAACATGGAGTCACAAAAGACCAAGGCTTCTCATGGTCCGGACTTTGAGAAGAGTCAAAAATGCTTCCTAGGAAACAAATGGAAGAGCTTTGTCCTCAGTTCTGTGGGTCAACCTCAGACGTGACCATCTGGGAGACTCGTATCCTTGGCAGGTAAAACTCGTCTCCTCCTTGCCATCTAACATCACTTGATGGTTCTAATTTTAGCACTGAGTTCAAGTGCAGTTGGCTTCTCAACTCTATGCCTTGAGAGTTGAAGCCAAGTTGTTTATCAGACTGGTCAGAAAGAACTAGGAAACATGCAACGAGAAAATCTGATAGAAGGGGGGTGATATGGGGTAAAAATCTAATAGAAAATGAGTAATAATGGGACGTATGAACTTAAGAAAGCAAGGGAACAAATCAGAACACAAAGACCATCTCTTCCATCACCTGGAAAAGTAGATATTATCATTCTGTTTTCCAGAAGAAGAAATGAAATTCTGATAAGGTTAAGTTTTTTGCATCCCAAACCACTCAGGTAATGAGGGTTGAGTCATAATTTGAAACCAACAAAAAAGATCTGGAAAAAATACAAAAAAATGTTTAAAAAGTGGTTGTCTGTGGGTGGTGAGATGGTGGGTGATTTTAGTTTTCTTCTTGATGTTTCTCTGTATTTTCCTAATTTTCCCTATTGGCGAATTGTTACTTATATAGTAAGAGTTATTAAAAGTTAAAGTTATTAAAACTATATCAGGGCCCAGGCTAAGGACAGGGAGCAGAAATTAAAGGCAGTAAGGAGAGCTCCCTGTAGGAGCCAGGAATCAGACAGAGTCTGTGGTCCTGAGACTGGGGAAACTAAGCTACAAAGCTGCGGGTGAAATTCAGAGTAAGGTGGGGAAGGAAGGAGGGACCCAGGCTAGGCCTGGCCACAGCTCTTGCTCCTCAGAGTCCAGGGAAGCTCAACCTGAAGGGGGCCTGGAAAGAAAACACTGACTTAATAGTTGGACACAAAGACAAAGACTTGATCCAGCAACAATCTAAACTCTAGGCTGGACAGAATCCAAAATGGGAGGGCCTCAAACGAGAGCAAACATGAAGTCTGTCCAGAAAGTACCCAGCCATGTAATATGAGAAATGGAGACATTCGTTGAGGAAGATATAAGAAACATTGTACACAGGACAATGACGCCTCAGTCCCCTTCAAAGTAGTCACTTCGGGACCTCTGCAGCCTGTACAAGTTCAACATTCTCAGGTGTTCTGCTTGTTGTAGGCCTTTGAGAACATGGATCACTTTCAAGATTCTCGACCACCTTTGAAGCATTTGTGCCGCACTTGTATTTGCCCTGCATTCATTGCATGGTCCCAGAAAGCCTTCTGAATCATCCAAACGGTTTCTGCAGAGGAATGTTCAAGCTTAATGCAAAATTTGATGTTCTACTCGCTCAGTTATTTTGAATGCAAGGGCCACACAGCACACATGCTCACTCAACGGGGTCTAGCGCCCCACTGACTAGCATGGTGAAGTCATTGTTCACGCACGCGCATTCCAGTCCACTCTGCTTGGCTGCCAGATTACGTGGATGTCATGCAAACCATTCTCATTATGTTAACAGTGGCTGGATACTTTCCAGACAGACCTCGTATACCTCCCTGGGCAAGGCTGTAGAACTGCACTTACCACGTGTGTTCTTAATCCTTATAATAATGCCTCGTGCCCATTGTAATTTGCATTGCAAGAGTATGGAAACCTGGGGTGAGGAAGAAAGCAGGGGTATGGAGAAGACAATGCAGGGAAAGAAACAATGGCTAAAGCCCCTCCCTCTGTCACAGTCCCTTTAGGTGGAGGGCAGGTGTGGGATCAGAGCTGTGAATGAATAAAGAGAGAGAACTGGCGACTAATTCTGCAGGACAGAGAAGGCCTGGGTTCTCACTTGCATCTTCCTCCCCAGAGGAGCAAGAAGATCCTACGTGAAATGAGATTCAAGCTCATCCTCTATATTTTGTCTGCTCGTGAAGCATTTTCAAACTCCAAGCAAATATTATGCAAAGACAATTTTATTCGTAGAAATACATGCTGGCCATGCAGGATTCCGTAGCTGGAAGATACACAAGTCTGGGCTTAGGGAGTCGAGTAGGGATGGTCAGTAATTGCAAGACAGATTTGCAATTTCACATCAGAACTTCTTCTTCCATGACTCAAGCTAAGCAGCTGTTGGCTCAACTTTAAATATCTCACGGGGCATTAGTGGTGAGTAAACATGTCCTTAATTTAATAAAAATGAATAATCTCCCTAGCTACTCTTCTAGAATTTAGAGGGTTTGTTGACTGCAGAAAAATACATCACCTGTTCTAGTCTAGTTATAAATATAATCTGTGAATTTTTTTTTAAAGTCTCAT